ACATAGGCCCCTGACATCTTTTACGATGGTATCACGTATTACTTCCCAAAATGGGAAGAACGAAGAAGAAGAATATGAACGTACACATAGAGTCTTAGCACCCAATGCTCTTGATTATGGCAGATTGTATAATTATTCTTCCAATAAATAAAAAAATCAGTAGTTAGCTGAACTGCAATTGATTAGTTATAGTTCATTAATTGAGCACAAGGTATTATCACAGTTGTAACGTCTCTAGAATACTATTAAATTCCTCTGTACCTAAATTATTTTTTATTTACTGACCATATAAAGCAATAAGTACCTGTTTAAGCTCCTTCAAAGTAAGAACCACTCAATTTTCATGATTCCAACTGTCACAATAATTTAATTTTAAATTTATGGATAATTTTGAAGCTGAATTCATTAATTTTTAGATAATTGAACTAAATACAAATTAGTTATCTCGACCAAAACACATGGTTACCACGACAATCAAATGTAAAATAAATAAATTATATATATAATAAATAATTTTGACCGATGAGTATTAAGTTTTGTAGCAGCAATAATTATTATAGATTTTATTTAAACGGAGATTCAGTTTTGAAAATACATCGCTGTATAAGAAATAAGAGTGTTTGGAAAACATATCATACATCAAAATCTGTATTATTGAAGTTACAATTTGTAAATATTTTAATTTATTTTTAGTTCGGCAATACTTAACACAATAACAGGAACGGGAAATCTTATGTAACTACTGAGTAATATTGATAAAAATAATGGCTATTGAAATATGATATCTAATTTTCCAAAAAATACACACAATAAAAGTACAAGTTTCCTTTAATTCATTGCCACCATGAGATCTGAGATTTCTTCTTCATCTTCCACCTTTGTTCCCCTCAACGTGGTTAGTCGAAGCCATTACGACTCGTAGCCCAGCGGCTTTATGGAGTTACAGACTCTTACCGTATAACATAGTATGAGGTATGATCTGACCATAACATCTAGCCCTTCTTCGAGGGAAACCAGAGATCAACATCCTTGCACCTTCCTCCATCCCGGTATTTTTTCATTTTATATCGATGTTCGAAACAAGTCATCTGCCTCTTTTTGACATTGTCTCTTAAAGCGAGTCTCTTCAAGATACATCAGTGACCTCTCATCCTGACTTGATCTCATCTTGTTTGATTAACCACTCACCCGAGCTATTTCGTTTCAGTGCCCAACACTAGCGGATCCAGGATTTAATTTTGGGGGGGAGGGGAGCTTCAGCCCGAAAGCTGTTTTTTTCATAAAAATAACGATAATTACTTTGGAAAAAAAGAAAGAAACTAACTACCTGTATGAAATGGTGTCTAAGTGATTCCTAAAGCCCTTTTAAATGTAATTGCACAAACATTAATACTTTAAGAGATGCTTTTTAAATATTTTTTACGATAAAACATGGCTATATTTTACCATTTTTGGGAGGGGAGGGGGCTTCAGCCCGAAAGCCTCCCCCCGTAGATCCGCCCGTGGTGCCCAATAACCCTACTCTATTATCTGTCCGTATATGAGGAGGTAATATATGTTGGCAATACAGGAAGAATTGAGTTGGAATTGAAAAATATATCTTTGACCCATGGGAAGCTACGACCAACTGACATCCATTTCTCAAGTTTAAGAGGATTGTTATAATAGACAACTGACAAGCAAGTATAGTATTCATATTGAGAACATGTGAATTTTATCAGCCTAAAACTTTGCTTACTGAAGGTCAAACAAAATTGTCATCAAGGTTTTTCAAACAATGAAATATTTTTCCAAGGCTAATGTTCAAAGCAGAAAAGCTCGTTTGTTTGAACGCAATAATTTCAAGAAAAAATCTTTTTTGCGTTAATCCGTGGTACAGACCCCTTTTTATCAAATTATTAACATCCACCTGAAACTTCGTGAGTAGCTTCATCTCATCATAATCTAGAACTTTATTTTTTTTTTTACAAAAATTATCGGAGCTGGAGTATTCTCAATCTAGAGATTGTCAAATTTAGTTTATTTAATTAGGTACTGAAAAATCATGAACACCTATTTGCTTTCCATTTTAATCGTAAAATAATTTGATCTTAAAATCGAAAAAAGAAATATTGGGTCGTTTGGCAACCACTCTCATATTGGGCTTCACTCTCACCATGTCAAAACAACGAGATTATATATGCCAAACGCTCCAATATTTTTGTAGGACACCTTTTTTATCGATTTTGTTATCAAAATACTTACGATTCCAGAGGATAGAAAATGGGGATTTATGAATTTTTAATACGTCTTATAAATATTATAAATTAATTAATTTAATGAAAATGTCCTATTTCTGTGAATTGTCCCATGCAGATAAAACATTTCTAGGTTACGATAAAATGAAACCATTCACGATGTTTTAGGCGGATGTTAATAATTTGACAAAAGGGTCTGTACGACGGACCAAGACTGTAAATTGATATTGATATACATACGTGATACAACCGTCATGTTACACCATACATCAAAAGCAATTGTAACCATAAACATAAATAAATCAGGCAAATTATAGGTCTTTACTGCAAAACTGATATCCTTTGTTTTGGTTTTTTGATTTTAAAAAAAAGTGTTTTTCTGATTCGGAGTCTGAACTTGAAATTTGAACCGTCTCAATCTCAATACTTGTTTTCCCTACTGGCGGTAGGAAAGTAAAAATTGACTAAGATTTTTCATCATACGTTTTTTAAAATAACAAAAATATTGAATAGATTAAAATAAAATTGTCGGTCCTTAACCCGTTACCGATGTCATCTTCATTTGCAGTATCAACGTTGCAGTTATAGTTTTATTTTTTTCTGAATTCTCTTAAACCTGTTTATAAGGGAGGTAGCCTGACATTTTTTCCCATTTACCAATAAACCACCTACCTAACGTTTACTAGTTCTGGGAAAGTAAAGTGGTTGGGAAAAACATATTGAGAAAAAAAATGTAATCATTTTAAATATATAAATAAATAAATAAATAAATAAAGATAAAATATAATAATAAAATAAAGAAGAAAATATAATCGTTGCTGTTGGTATCTTTGAGAAAAAATTTGAACTACCTGGACCTAATCCTAAGTCATGTCACACTGTTGTTTGTAATTATTTGTCTATTGTATTGGTATTGTTTATCATTTGTTTAATATTTATGTTCCTGTTTTTTATAAATATATATATATAATATATATATATATATATATATATATAATAATATTTATGTTGCTGTTTTTTATAAATATATATATATTATATATATATATATATATATATATATATATATTTATAAAAAACAGCAACATAAATATTAAACAAATGATAAACAATACCAATACAATAGACAAATAATTACAAACAACAGTGTGAATGACTTAGGATTAGGTCCAGGTAGTTCAAATTTTTTCTCAAAGATACCAACAGCAACAATTATATTTTCTTCTTATAAGAGAACAATTAATTTAAAATTTGTTATTATAATTAACAAAAACATAAAATAGGCTGCTTACTGCTGGGAGCAACAAAAAAAAATATTTATGAAATCAAACTTCTTTTCCAACTGACATTAATGCATTTATAAGACAAGGCAAGGTACAGAGCGCTTCATTGTGGTTTATAGACATACACTGATTTATTGTAAGCTTCTGTATCAAGACTATAATTTTCGTATAGAGCGCAGCACCGGACGGACTAACTACTAGCAGAAACAGTCGTTAGAACAGTTATAAATAAAACCTGTATTGCCCATATATATATATATATATATATATATGTATATATATATATATATATATATTTAATAATAATGATTTATTTTTTATATATACATTACATCATGTCATAATGGTAAATTACATGTTTGTGGTTGCAGTAACCTTACGCATGACATACTAGCGGTTTGAATGCTATTTAGAAATTTGAAATCCATTTTTACAGTAGGGTAATCCACATAAAAAACCTACTTAAGATATAAATGAAAAGACTAGATTACAATCATTAAAAGTACAAGAAAAACAAAATATAATTTATATATAAAAGAAAACTATATACATACTCACAAAACACACACGTACATATATATATGCAAAAACCACTAGAGAATCCAGGATTTAATTTTTGAGGGGAGGGGACTTCATCCCGAAAGTTTTCCATAAAAATAACAATAATTACTTTGGAAAAAAGGAATGAAACTAACTACCTATATGAAATGGTCTTTAAGTGATTCCTATAGTCCTTTTAAATATAATTACACGAACAATAATAGTTTAAGAGATAATATTTTAATATTTTTTCCATAAAACATGGTTATATTTTACCATTTTGGGGGGGGGAGGGAGGAAGGCTTCAGCCACAAAGCCTTCCCCCCTCCGTAGATCCTCCCTTGATATATACTAGACAACAGGGAAATGTTTTTTGATTTTTGAGTATTTGAGGGTAAATTACCCAGTTCCCTTAGAACTCTTCTAAAGGTGAAATATTCAGTTTACAGGTAACCTATAAAGCCAGCCTGGAGTTACCTGGAACTGGAGGTGCCAAAAAAATTGTGTATAGGGGTCGATTTTAACAAGTTATTAATTTTTTAACTTTTGAGGTGCGGGAGTTCATTTTTATTGGTTTATAAATTTTAGAGAGAATAATATTTTTGTGAAGTTAAAATTTAGTGTTACTTTCAATCCAGAAAACAAAGGAAAACATGGAATTACATATTATTACACAGATTCCAATCGTGACTGACAAAACAGAAAATATATGTGTGGTGGGCCTAACATATGGCTATACTGAGAAATTTATTTCTATTTTTGAAGGTCAATTTTTACGCTGGAATCCCCAACCATTTACTTGGGCACACTCAGTCTCTTTAAAGTGAGTAACTTATTGTACTGATTACGATACAATCTTGCGTCCTTTTTGGTTGTAGTGTAGAGATTATTTTATTTTTAGTATATAAATATTACATTAATGAATTTACCAAAAAAGACATTATTAAGTCAAATAATATTTTCATTCAAATTTTTCGCTTTATAAAACCACTTTGGTGTAAGTACTTCTCTAATGGTTTAAATCCTCTAAGTCCTCTGATATATCCTGCTGACAATTTGTATTGAACGTTCACTCAATAAAAACTTAATAATAATATATAATATACAGTTTAAAATATATCACAAATTTTATTGAGCGATGATGGAATTTCTTCAAGCGGCCGGTTCTTCGTTGGAGGGCAGCATGTATTGCTCTGGCGCTTGGTGTTCCGCGTGCTGAGCTGGCTCATTGTTCATGAAGGGTTCTGCGATTTCTTCTCTCTTCCTGAACTCGGCGAGGTCTTTGATGTCTTCGGTGAGGTGGCCTTCCCGGACAAGATGTCTTCGGGCTTCTTTCAACATTTCTGGAGTGAATTTTTCAGGATTCGCTTCCATGTATCGGTACACAGCCAGGTCGACGCCGGTTATTCTGAAACGGTGGCCGTAAACTTCGATTATGGCTCCTGGAAATGCGGTAGTTGAAAATTAGCAAAATTGTCTGGAATAAGGATTTATTTCTTTTGTAAAAAAATAATTAACATTGATTTAAAAATATATAATTACGATTATAAAAACGAATTTTTAATATAGAAGTACCTTTGTTCACATTTTTTTTTCATCAAAAAGTATGTGTTACTTTCGCTTATATATATGTATATATGTAATATGTAGTAAGGTAAAGTATTACGATCGTGAAAATTTTCTAATCTGAGTTTTCAACGGAAATACACGTTTTGAGGTCCCCTGAGTAAAAATAACTAAGTCTCGCAAAATGATCTGTGTGTATGTGAACAGTCTAGCTCAAAAACGAAAAATCGTACGCGACTTAAATTGTGTATTTAAGGTTTTTACATGCCTGTAATATTGCAGCAACTTTTTTTTTTCGGGGTTTTCAATTTTTGAAGGGGAGGGGCAAATTTCGACAGGGTTATGAATTTCCAAAACGAAAAGTTTCAAATTAAAAGATAAGTGGAAGCATGGAACAGAACGCGGGATACTTAATTGTATATAATCTACGAATATTTAAATTCTACTTTCGTGTGCACTGTTTTTAAAAAGAAGAGAGGAATAAAATATCTTGTGAGGGGTGGGGGAAAGTTTATGCGCCGTCGGCTTTGGAGTGGATGGGTACCTCTGCTTTAATGAGAGAGAGGGGAGGACTCAAGTTGGCCAATAGGCAGGATTCATGGGAGAGAGGATGGAGTAACTATTGGAGGTTGAGACAGAAGATGGTATGTTAACTTAATAATTGAATGTACGACAACCCTATCGTTGGTGTTTAGCATTGTGTTCTCCTCTAGCAATAAGCGCGATCCGAGGGATTTATGATACGTTACAACTTATTTAATACGATAGTCAATATTTTTTTTATTTAGGACAAAAAAAGAACAGGATTGATATGTGATAATCTTAAAATACGACCAAACCTAAGGCAAAAATAAACAATTAATAGTAATTAAGATATGAAAGGTCAATAGTGCAATAAACCGGCATTACATTCGGTCCAGCGCGGCTCTGTTCGCCTCAGTCTCTTTTTTACTGACACACTGAGAGGACCATCCGATTCTGAGCCTGCCATCATTAACAGCCCAACATCTGCCAAAATGTATTAATTAGAGGTCTATATTCATCTATCAGCTATATTCATTTGGGCCGCGGGAGCAGGAGGCAGCATTGAGAACGGCGGTAGGAAACGTCGGCGAAGGTAAGTATCATCATTGCAAAATTAACAGACCGGTCCCCACTGATACTGTATGTGGCCATTATTTTTATTTTACTAACACACTAAAAGTTACTGGCCCTTCAGATACAATAGATGAAATAAATAAACATAATTAATAATATTAGCAGTATTAATATAAATTAGTAACAGACTAACCAAATAACATTAATGTTAAGTTATAATTTGAAAAAATCCAAACCACGTAGCCTTATGTATCCAAAATGCAGGCAAAGAAAAACACGTCAACCTTTCGCCAATTCAGGCATCATCAGGAAAGAAAAGAACAGGTAACCGAACACCACTCCATTCACACTTAAGAGTATGTGCTTGGATGCCATGGAGAGTATGGCAAATGGATGTTATAGTGGACATAAGGCTGTGTGGTTTGGAATTCTTCCAATTATAACCTAATATTATTTCGCAAAGGTGTTTTTTTTTGTCGCAACGCCATAACTTTGTCAAATCTTATAATTGAGCAACAATAATCTTGATCTTGCGCACTCATTCTTGGTGCAAAAAAAATCATCATCAGAAAATGGTTTAATAAGTAAATAAGGACTTTGATAATAATATGAAGAAATTAAAGAATAGTGAATCAAGAAGCTATAATCTTAATTTGTCTAAAATATATAAAGAAATTCATGTTTTTTTTTTTTTTATTTATTCATGATATTTACAACTGTATCAAAAAATTAAATACATTAAGTAAATTTGATAACAGAAAGTAATAACATGAAATGACTTGTTGAGAAACTACCCACTGGTAGCACTCTAAATTTAAATTCATGGTTAAAAAAATTATTTATATTTACTGACCTAGCCTGAAGTCGTGGGGGCTGAAGTATTCTGGATTATCAGGGTTCGTTCCTGGCTTAGGCACTAACGAGTGTCTGAAATTAAATATTACTTATTAATTTTGTATAATAGCTATGTGCAATTGTGAGATTTTATCCGTTATAATTATTATTACTAATATTTATATATTATTTCTCAAAAGATGTTTTTCTCGAACCGCCATATCTTATTCAGTTCTTCATCAAATCGAATGGATTAGCAATAATTTTGAGGATTAACTTCTGCACCAGTACCGAAAAATAATCATATCTCTCAAAAAAATTGTGTATAGGAATGGAAACTACTTTTACGGATTACTCAAAAAGTATAAAATACGTGGTTGATTATATGCATGATCATACATTGTTGCTTGATCTTAATTGTTTATATGGATTTTTTTAAACGAGTGATAATCTGAAAGGATTCATATCACTCTATAACGACTTTTATCACTATAATTATTGTCCTCGAGAAAGAATATTATATGTCTAAATAAATATATATATAAAAAAAAAAGTTTTTGTACTTTTTAAATAAAAAAATTGTTTCACCAATCTTACTCCAGTTATCTCAGATGAAAAACACATTTTTTACCTGAATTTTTTTAAATTGTTACATGAAAATTATTAAAGATAACAAAACCATGGATTTAAATTTTAATTTTTGGTTAGGATGGTATGTATGATGTATTTCTGAGCTGCTGCGGAGGTAGTAGACATCCTAAGAAAAGTTTGCTAGGCGTTCTCTCTAATCTAGCATTACCACATTTTCTCATGTTTTACGAATTTTATACTTTTTACGGCCATAAATCTATAAATTTCATATTATTGTCATGTTGTTGTAATTTTAATTTGTAATAAATAAATTAAAATGTTTTCAAGTTTGGTCTCCGATCCGTGGCCTCTTCTTATTCATTCCACCCACTCGGCCACACTAATCAATGGAATAATTCCAGTTTTATTTATACCATACAACAGTCCATAGTTATTATTAGTCATTATTTTTTTAACTCATTATATACATATGGTAACTCAAGAAAATATTACTAACAAAAAAGTTCAATTAATGCATGGAATGGTTCCGAATGTAAAAGGAGGAAAAAGGAGTTTGTGCGATAGGACCAACTTTATATTATTCTTAAGGTGGTCACGTTGTTTATTCATTTAGAACGAATCACTCAAAAACTGTTCAAGACACTAGCGGATCCAGGATTTAGTTTTAGAGGCCCGAAAGATTTTTTTTAAAAACATATAACGATAATTACGTAAGAAGAAAAAGAAGGGAGCTAACTACCTATTTGAAATAGAGTTTAAGCGATTCTTTAAGTACTACTAAATGAAATTACACGAACAATAATACTTTTAGAGGTAATTATTAAATTTTTTTTTCATATGGCATGATTATATTTTACCATTTTGGGGAGGACTTCAGCCCGAAAGCCTCCCCCTCTTCCCCGCAGATCCGCCTGTTGTTCAAGATAATTAAGTTCTAGTCACACCATCCTGAAGTAGACAATATCTTTTTTGGTGAAAACGGTGACTAAACTTTACTTGACTAAGTCACCTAAATTTCCATAGGTCAGCGATGAAAGGAACTTTTAGGAGGTCTAATACGGTCACTGTATTGCTGTTACAGTTCCCATACATGAGCAGTCTCTTTTCAGTATTTGATTGCCTGACAGTCCCTTTTATCATCGACCTTTGTAAGTACAAAAACAAAATTGGTTTTAAATCTATTTCCGTTGGAAATCGGGCAATGCATCATATGAACATATATATATATATATATATAGAAATAGATTTTATATATATATATATATAGAATAGATTTTATATATATATATATATATAATATATATATATATATATATATATATATATATATAGTACTTACTTTAAAAACCTGCCTCCTACGAAACCACTGTTTCTTTGCCGGATTTCGTGTATCATCATGTTAGCGTCAGCCAACCTGTATTCAATAATGAACTGTCTATTCTTGTCTTCTGGGTGCACATAATCCATTTCAGCCGTGTATCTCAATCTCTTTAATTTGAGAAAAGTAATATAATTAATTTGTTTGTATTTTATAATTTTTAAAAGCAAGAAAAATCTATTTTATTGTCTTTTTTTTTCGACGTCAGCAATACTTTTTAATTCTATTTGTTTATTTAGAAATATAATAATCTGTCACGTGGACAATAATTATAGTGATATATGAACACATTCACACCATATATACAGAAAATATAAAATAAATCAATGTAAAATAATAACTAAATAATAATAAAAAATTATGTACAATAAAAAAATAAAATAACCTAAAGATAAGTAAATTAAAAACATAAAAACACAGTCATACCTATATACAATATATATAATCAGGCAGGGAGCCCCAAGTCAGGCTTCTCCCTCCAACTATAGAAGGTAAATCAGGACTCCAGAGACTCCCTGCGCTACTCTCTCAACCGCGTAACTGGTGTAGCAATACTTAGGTCCTTAATCTTAAGAGGAAAATTGTTTCTTCCAATTACATTAATCTAATCAACCTGAAGATCGATCATTTTCTTTTACTGTCATTCTGAACAATCCCATCACCTTTCCTAATTAATATACGATAGTATAGTTGATAATTTTGTGTTTAAATATGATGACATATCTGAATCGTGGCATAGTTAAAAAAAAATTCAAGTTGACATACAGGGCAAGTTACCCAACTTCATATTGCGCAAATGTAATTGAAATTAGTAAACAAAATTCGAAAATATTGTTATGACATCCTTTTTTATAACTAATCCTCAAAATTATTTCAATTTTGAGTTAAGTAGTACGAGCTGCATTTGAAACTTTGGCGCCTCTAAGAATATGCATTCACTCATGCCTAAGGGTAAGTAGTCGATGGAATTTGATGAAATTGGTAATGGACCATCCTGACGCAATCTCGTACAGCTGTTTAAAATTTCATGAAATCGGATTAATAGCAGTAGAAGATAGGCTCGCCACATAGATATGAATACAGATAGACATATTTGGAATCAAGTTGACTAGGAACATATGAAAAATTGAACTAAACTCTAATGGTAAAACGTTATAGTTGGTCAAGAGAGGGTTGGCCGAGCGGAATAACGCGTGTGCACAGCACCGCTCTTTGCCCGGCAACCTGATAACTGAAGTTCGAGATAATTTGAAATTATGACTTTTAATTCAGCATAATTCCTCTGCCTCTCCTCCGGCTCGGAAAAAAACCCTTTATAACCTAAAAGGCAAGGAAGAGGAGACAAAAAAAAATGTGTTCATCCTAGATTTCACATTTCTGAGGCTGATCTATAATGATTATGCAATTACAATACAATTTCGGGGTAATCCGGGGTTTTTAAATAATGTTGCAATATATCATTCCTCGAATGATTTTAATGATAAGTTTTGTTCGGAATGCATAACGAACGTGTTGGATGTTCGTTTCTATTGACTGGAGAGCATTGGACCAAGAATATATCTTGAGGTACACCTATCAGCTATAGAAATATGAACTGAATGAATTAATGTAATTAAGTTGACCTTAATTTAATAGAATTTTGAATCATGTACTTGAATTCACTTACCTTAGAGCCACTTTGCAGGAATCGTATATAGTCCATTTTATCGACCGCTCCGCCTGATTTAGGGTCGATATGATAATACGATAGCATAGAATCGAAGTGGGATCCGAATCCAGTATATTTGGGTATTGTCTAAAAAGAAAGAATACTAATGAAAAAAAAAAAATATATTTTAAGAGTATAAAAGATAAAAAACGCAGGATCCGATAGTTCCGGATAGTTCCTCCGGAACTATCGGATCCTGCGTTTTTAATCCCAAAAACGTACTATTTTCGAGATAACGCAAGGCATGGGGTTCGCATGCCACACAACCTGACGTTAATTGTAGTACTGTCATTGGATACATGTCTCATTTCCTCGGCTTGAGGTCTCTATGATCGAGAGAGGAGGAGTTTATATTATTTATCCATGGTGTTTTTGATCGGCAAGCCATATCATCGTTAATTCTTCACCAAATCTCAAGATTGAGCCTTTCTTCTCCTTCAGGCTGGCAAAATAGTCCAATCACTCCCAAAATTCAGGCAAACAAGTTATGCGAATAACTAAAAAATTACACACTTTTCCCTCGGTTATTCCCATGATTATATAAAACATTACTAAATTGTCTATATAAGGGAAAAAAATCATTGGAATCGGACAATTTTTCGCAACGATACAGCTTATTGAATTTTGTAAATATGTTGATTCCAAACAAATTTACAAATTTGTTACAAAAATTACAAAATTTCCTTTGTCGGTTATATTTTTCGATAAAGTAACGATTTATTCCTTTATCTTTTGATACGTTGCATTATATTATTTTCTTATTAATTTGGCATTTGATAACAATATGCTGTGCGAATTTTTCGCACGGGCCTACTACTCTTATATGATATGCGTAACTTATCGTCCGGTCTTATAGATAAATATTTTAAGTAAACCCATGATGGGGTATCAACAGAATATTTATATATCCCATGTTTGTTGAAAAGAATATTTTCAATGAGTTTTAGACAGCGTTCGTGAACACATCGGTGAATCCTCTACAGCTCCCAGGGATTACTACAGGCCAGTCCCTCCAATATATATTTATTACTAATCATTTATAATACTATAATCCAGAAGAGGCTGGTATCTTTCTGTCTCCTGACTTTCTGTATATACGCTATACTTCTGTTATTCTTTTTTATATTAATTCATTCTTGATTTCTTCCGCCGGACAAGAACTTATTTCCGGAATAAAAATTGTTCCTTTTGAAAAGTTAAGAAGTCTGTAGAGGAAAACTACCGAAGACTTCTCGAAAGTTCTGATATTGGAGAAGGTTTAAAAAATATTTTATGGGACATGTCACTAACATCAGTTTTCCATTGCTGGAGAAGATAATCTTTGTATTGGGGCATTTCCCTTAGCGAAACAACACACTTTGAAGGAACTGTGTTCGGTGAATGTTTTTCGTCCTTTTTCAATAAAACATGTCCACGTATTATCTTGTCCAAGTTGGACCATGCTACTTCTTATAACTAGAGAATAGTGTTGCCCAAATGCGAGATCGAGACGAGTCTTGGTCTTGCAAATTCAGTTTTGGTCATAGTCTTGGTCCTGCGCAAGACTCTCTCAACAGTCTTTCAGTTACTTATTATCTTATTACTACAGAGATATTACTGTATTTTTTTAGGTAGAAGATTTCTAAAGAGGAGTTAAATGCAAATCTTACCAGTCCTGGTCTTGGTCTTGCAACAGTTAGTTAGCCTTGGTCTTGGTCTTGCAAAGTGCAAGACCAAGACCGATTTTGGGCAACACTACTAGAGAAGGTATCAGGAGGCAATGGCTCGATGGGTTCGTCTATCTCAACCCCTTTTTATCTGCCTTGTCCTGACTCGATTTTATCAAGACACGTTAGTGGTAATTGGATCTCCAATCAATTAGTCCTACACTGAAGAGACAATCGACACTAGTAAAACTTCTCCTGCCCACAAAAAACTGTAGGAATAAAGCTTTTAAAGTTTAAGAATTTTCAAATTATGTTTTACTTTAACCTTTGTTTGTATTTATCACCTATTTTTTAATTAATTTAACTTTTTAATTAAGTTCCTTAATTGAGGTGAAACAGTTTTGTTAATTGGGCTACATAATTGAAAGTAATGGAATAATAGAGGAAGAAATCCAAAAGAGTATCGCAAACGGTAAAAAAACAGTGTGAATGCTTAATCCGTTACTCTGGAGCAGCAATATTTTAGTAAAACCAAAAAAGCTAATATACAAAGTGTTGGTAAAATGCTTAATGCTATATACGGTTCGGAGACATGGGCCCTTAGTATGACCCAGGAAAAAAATTACTTTCGGTTGAAATTATTTTGGAGGAGAACTGCTAGGATATCAAGGATCGAAAAGGTAAAAAACGATATAAAGCAGAGATTTGAAGTAGAGCAAAATATCCTAGAGGTAATAGGAGAAAGGAAACTCGGGTGGTACGGATATTTGAGACGAATGTGCGACAATAGGATACAAAAGATAATTATGAATTGGGAGGCAGATGGTAGAAGGAAGACGCCCAGTTAGATGGAAGGATGAAGTGGTGGAGAGTATGGTAGGGGACTGTAGGAAGAGGATGCATTGAACTGGCAGAGATGGGGAGGCTTGCTAAAGAATGGATTTGGTTGAGGTAAACTTCATATTGAAGAAACTCCTAAATTAAAATTTAAAATAGTACACCTAAGTTTTGATTTTTTTTCTAATGAATTACCTTATAAGATGTTTCCTTCTTAGTTTCTTGGGGTAGTTCTATTTTCGGTTGTTCTATTCTGTAAATCTTCTGATAATATTTTCGAGTGAAATCGTCGCAGTCGTATAAGTAGAACCTGGCATTGATTACAAAAATAAATAAATATATATGATGTAATATAAAAGTGAATCGAACAGCCAGAATTATGGCCGCATATTATATTTTAGCATATCAACGGGAAATTTTAACTTTGTCATTGTAAAGACCTGAAATAGAATAAATCGCTGATTAAAAATAAAATAAAAAAAGAAATACAAATATGATAACCTCCTTCCCATAAGGAAAACAGTCTTGCCAACGACCAAATCGCATGGAGAATAGTATTGCAAAACATCATCATCACTTGGCTCGTACACAAGAGGCACCAAATCCTCTGAAACACATTAGCTTAATCATTTATTTTTAATATTTTAATAAAAAATTTATAGTTTAATATTTGGTTTATTATTATCTTAGTATACTAATGTATTTTTAAGAGGAAAATGTAAATTTATATGAAATAAATCTTTCTATGCAAAAGAATAATTTAACCATGAAACTCGAACAGATAACTCTGTGCGAATTCGCACCTGTCTTGGGTACCTCAAATATTGTTATTTATTATATAATATTCTTTAAGCTCTTTCTCCATGCTATAGGTACATAATAAGATCTCCGCAGTATGATATGAATAAGGTAATATAAAGTTGTCCGTGGGAGAAACAGTTTTCTCTTAGCTCAACTCCAATATTTAATTTTCTAAATGGTTATATGATGATTTTTCGGAATAAACGGACGATAGATACTTAATGATTTAAATATACTGTCAGATCTAGAGTTATTAAAATACAGTAAATATATTTAAGGTTATAAACGTATCCATGAAATATTTTTAGTTTTCATTTCTTCTTTCACACAAGTACAATGAAATAGTATCTTAAACAATGCCATTGCCTGGAATCCGTGGGTTTTAAATACTTTTTCAAACTTTAAAAGTTTACATTTAGTATGAAAATTTCATTTAATTTCCTGGAAAACATATTATTATTTATATTTTTTGCCACTCTACTTTAACTTGTACAACTTTCTATATGAGATAATGTTTTTTCTAAATTCTCCGCTTTCCAACGATATATAATATTTTTATTTTTTTTCTTCTTTATTTAATTATCAAATTCTTCCAAAAGAATTTTTTCATATACTCCTAACAATGATAAATAGTTATTATTTATAATAAACCAGATTAAAGGAACTGTAGAGGAAGATATGATAATATTGAGATTTCACAAAAGGGAAAATTCATCAAATTATTCACTAATTTAATTTTCTAATAAGTTACATGACAATTTTTTGGAACAAACATTGATAAAATTATTTAAATATAATATCACATCTGTAATCACTAAACTACAGTATAAAATAAAATTATATTCTATAATTTAAAAATTATTTTTTAGAATAAAATAATTTTCTATTCTATTTGACGACCCCGAACACAAATATAACTCGAACCCAATAGCCATTGGAACTGCAGCGCCATCGATGATTCAATCGATCAATAAAGAGGTCTGCTGAATTCTATCGATGTGTTCTATGCGATGTTCTAATAAATTTGCAATGCCATCGATGAACCTCAGCGCTTAGTTTAGAATATTTAGAAATTTCCCCAATGATAACAAAGTTTGTAAAAAATGAATCATATATAATGATGTATTAAAAATTATTCATTATTTGTAAGATTTATTCATAAATAGCAAAAAGCAGAGATGAGGAATATATTCAGATTATCCATTTTTATTTTCACTTACCAATATATGTAATATGTTAAATGGAAAGCATTGCGATCGTGAAAATTTTCGAATCTGAGTTTTCAACGGAAATGCAGGTTTTGGGGTCTCCTGAGTCCAAATAACCAAGTCTCGCAAAATGGTCTGTGTGTGTATGTGAACAGTCTAACTGAAAAACGAAAAGTCGTACGAAACTGATGTTATATATCTGTGAGATTACAGCAACTTTTTCTGTAAAATCGGCTAACCGGAAGTGCCACTTAACATCAACGGTCATACACATTTTTACAATTTTCGCGAAAACGGAAACTTACCATTTTGTTTAAACTCGCTGTATCATTGTATAATTAAGTGGTCTTTAATATAATTTAGATCTTATACCCGTTGATGTCCCTTTACAGGGCTTAAATGCCCAATGATCATATACGTCATCCCCTAAAGGACCTTTAATTTTGTTTGTTTTAAATAATTAACTATTTTCTCATTATTAATTAGTTACGAAGAAATGATAAATATAACTTTTGAAAGGTATAGAATTTGATAATTGAAAAAATAGAGAAAAAAAGGAAAATGTATATTTAGGTCGAAAAATAGGTGGAATGCCGAGAATTATGAAAAAAAACAAAAACAATATTTAATATAGAAAGCACTAGCAGGTAATAGAGAGTGACGAAACCTTATAAATAATATTTTTTGAAAACTAATATTATTTAACGGAAATTACATATTTTCAAGGAAATTAAATGAAATTTATTATCTAAATGTAAACTTAAAAAAAAAAGTATATAAAATCCACATAATCAATTCAATGATAATGTTTAAAAAACTGTTTCATTGCACTTGTATGAAAGGAGAAGAGAAAAAGAAAAACATTTTATGGATGTATAAAGCATATGTTTATAACCATAAATACATTTAACATAGTTTAATAATTCTAGATCTGATATTATTATATGAATTTTCCCTTTATGAAATCCCAACATTATTCACTTAAAATTAGTGTGACAACTTTTGACCTATCTCTCAGAGGCAATGAAAATCTCGTAATATCATTTTAGTAAACTTTACAATGGAAAATAATAGTTTAATGACTAATAGGCATACAGTACATAATCATTTATAGGTTGAATATACAGGTATACTTTCAAATCTCTCTAGGCATTATATATATATATATATATATATATGTGTGTAGCTCAAATACAGGGGCTGTGTGGTTTATAAAAACTGATGGAGTAATGAAGTTTTGCATTGCCTACCGTTCATATAATTAATAGGCTTTTTGTTATTTTTGTGGTTTGAATGATTCGTCAGCTGTAGCTCCGTTAAAAATTCACTACAAAAATTTTATAATAGCCCGAAATTTCAAGAAAATAATTTTTATGCAAAGTAGAGCGGTAAGTGAAAGTTGGTTGTTGCTGGCACCAGAGTTCTTACAAAATCTATTTTGAATGTATGGCCTAAAAATAAAAGATTTAACACTGTAAACTATTTGTCTTTAATAAATTAAATACTTTTTGTGGTTTATTTCAAGGATAGAAAAAAAAAAACAATGAACACAAGAATATCAAATAAAATATTTTTTTTTAAGTACTTAAATATAGTATCTAGGTTTTGTTACTGTTTCGATTTGGTCTATTGGGGTTGAGAGGGTCATAGATTTGAGAAGTGGGAGAGGGAACTCAAATCTTGGGTACAACTTAAATAAACCAAATTACTTCTCAAAGTGTTCTTGGCCTTGGGTATTTTAACCTTCTTCAATATCGCTTTCGAGTCGAAGATCCTCACTTCCCCGGTATCTTGGTCTTCATAGATGTCCATCGTATCATCTTGTAAATAATAGTAAATCTTGTATTTTTCTAAACTACCGTTCTCTTCCATCCTCCGATCCCAAACTGCGTAAAACCTACAAAAATAAAGTTGTGTTTTATATAACAAATTGAAGAAATAACGTTTAACATTATTTCTAAAATAAATAATGTGAATGATAAAGACTGATATGAATAATAAATAATAATAACTATAACGAATAAAAAAGAAAAAAAAAAAACGGTACATTTTGTTGATACAATGCAGTTTGTTGATATAGAAAAAAAATATATATAAATTAAAAAGAATTTAAAAATTAATACAATTAAGTTGAATATTTGGATATGGGCGTGTGTGTATTTAGCGATAAACAAAAATAGCAACAATACAATTTAAAAAATCGTTACGGTCTTCATTAGCACTGCCTAAACACACTACGACCTTTAATGATAAAAAGATTCTCTGCCTACGGTTTATTTTATACGTATACTTATCGACTACTATTCAATTGTTATTTTGATTCTGTTTTATTTTATTTATTTGTAATATATACCCTTAATAATAAATATAATCTTACTTTACTATAATCATTTTCAATTTGACATATTTTTTAATGAATGTTGAAGAATGTCATACTACTGAATAAACATAAAAATTAAAATAAAATAAAAAACTTTCTAATGTTTTGCAAAACTAAGCCCTATAAAGACAAAAAATTCTACTGTTACGTGAAATCCAAACCATGAACCACGGTGTAATTTGTATAATTAATAAATTATCTGTAGCTCCGGGATCTTTCTTGGTTCAATTTAAGAGTAATCAGCTCCAAAATTTTAAAATATTTCATATTTTTTGCATACCACAATATTTAATTTTATAAAAAACACTTGTTTTGTTTAGGATAAAAACATAGAGCATATAATATAAAATTATATAGCATTTCCAAGTCAATTTCAACCTTTTCCAAGTCAAATTCAACCTTTTCCAAGTCAAATTCAACTTTTTCCATTTCAAATTAAACCTTTTCCATTTCAAATTCAACCTTTTTTTATTTATTTAATTATCTTTAATTTTTCGATGTGTGGGTCTGTTAATTACGTGACTACGTTTCGAATTTTTTAAGTTTTTTTGACTTATTCGATATAAGGGTGTATTTTTATGTTTCCCGATCACTAAATTTTGAAAATGACATCCATTTTATGTTTACACCACTGTGTTTTGATTTATTTAAATTTTTAGAATTTATGTTTCCGATAACCACTTTTATGTTTCCGGAGCTGTAGATTTTAAAAACGACCTCCATTTTAAGATTAGGCCACCGCGTTTCGACTTATTTGAGTTTTTCGGATATTTTTCATATGAGGGTGTATTTTTATGTTCCCGGAGCTGTAGATTTTGAAAATGACCTCAATTTTAAGATTACGCCACTGCATTTCGACTTATTATAGTTTTTTTGATTTATTCGATGTAAGGGTGTATTTTTATGTTTCCGGAGCTGTAGATTTTGAAAATGACCTCCATTTTATGATTATGCCGCTGCGTTTTGACTTATTTAAGTTTTTCGAATTTATCCAATATTAAGGTCTACTTTTATGTTTCTTGAGCCGTAGATTTTGAAAATGGCCTCCATTTCATGATTACGCCATTGCATTTTGACTTATTTAAGTTTTTAGAATTTATCCAAATTAAAGGTCTACTTTTATGTTTTCGGAGCTGTAGATTCTGAAAATGACCTCTATTTTATGATTACGCCACTGCGTTTCAACTTATTTAAGTTTTTAGAATTTAACAAGTATAAAGGTCTAATTTTATGTTTCTGTAGCAGTAGATTTCCCCCATTTTGTAAATGACCCAATTTCAAGTTTATGCCACTGTGTTTTTGATTATAAAAGTTTTTTTTTTAACTTTTTCGGTATAAGGATCTACTTATATGTTATCCAAGACGTATTGAAATTTTTCTAATCTTTAATATTTAAATTTATCTAATATTTAAGCTCCATTTTATGATTAAGCCGCTGTATCTCGATTAATTAGGCTTCATTTTGGATTTTTTCAATACAAAGTTTAATCAATATGTTTTTGAGTATGAATAAATAAATAAATTATTAAATATTATGAAGCTAAAGTTAAATTAACCACAGAATAAAAACTAAAAAGCCGAAAAGCAACTGGTAATAAATTTAATCTTCCGTATTCAGATTTTTCAGCTAATTGTTCGAAATCTAATAATCTTGTGACAGGAGCCCACAACATTAAAAAAGATAACTAAAATTAAATTAAAAATGAGACAATACATATTTTATTTATTTTGATTAGATATTTTTATATATTTATTGAAAAATAAATTAATCGAAGGAAAAATCAAAAACACTTAAAAAAACCGAAACACAGTGGCCTAATCTTAAAATGTAAGTCGTTTTAAAAACTAAGGTTCCAGCATCATAAAAGTAGACCTTTAAATTGGATAGATTCGAAAAACTTGAATAAGCCGAAACGCAGTGGCGTAATGTTAAAATAAAGATCATTTTCAAAATCTACGACTCCGGAAACATAAGAATACACTCTTTTATGATAAAAATTCGAAACACTTAATGAAATCGAAATGAGGTGGCCTAATCTTAAAATGGAGGTCGTTTTCAAAATCTACGACTCCTGAAACATAAGAATACACTCTTTTCTGATAAAAATTCGAAACACTTAAAGAAATCGAAATGCGGTGGCCTAATCTTAAAATGGAAGTCGTTTTCAAAATCTTCGGCTCCGGAAACATAAGAATACATCCTCATATGAAAAAAATCCGAAAAACTCAAAGAAATAGAAACGCGGTGGCCTTATCTTAAAATGGAGGTCCTTTTCAAAATCTACGGCTCCGGAAACATAAGAATACATCCTCATATGAAAAAAATCCGAAAAACTCAAAGAAATAGAAACGCGGTGGCCTTATCTTAAAATGGAGGTCGTTTTCAAAATCTACGGCTCCGGAAACATAAGAGTAGACCTTTATATTGAATAAATTCTAAAAACTTAAATAAGTCAAAACACAGTGGCGTAAACATAAAATGGATATCATTTTCAAAATTTACTGACCGGGAAACATAAAAATACACCCTTATATCGAATAAGTCTAAAAAAACTTAAATGATTCGAAATGCAGTGACATAATCTTAAAATGGATGTTATTTTCAAAACTAGGTACAGGGCAGCATAATACTAGTCCCTAATAAATCCAAATAGGTTCAATAAATCGATATCCGTAAGTGAAAATTCTACTTAGGAGAGCATAATAATAGACTTTCATATTGGAGGGGGGAGGGGATGGCCATTATTTTTAAAAAATATATATAATTTAAAAAATTAAAACATTAAAATTTGAAATGAAAACGGTTGAATTTGAATTGGAAAAGGTTTAATTTGAAATGGAAATGGTTGAATTTGAATTGGAAAAAGTTTAATTTGATCTGGAAAAGGTTGAATTTGACTTGGAAATAATTGAATATGACATAGAAATATCACATTGAAAAAATCTAAAATGTTAAAATAAATGGATATCCAACCGCGTTATCAAAATTTTTTTTGTATTTTTCAAAAGCCATGCCTTCGATAATATAGTATGTGGCCTTCATTTCGAAAAAAATCGAAAATTGACAAAAATTCGAAAGTTGAATTTAAATGGAAAAGGTTGAATTTGACTTGGAAAGGGTTGAATTTGAATTGGAAAAGGTTTAATTTGACTTGGAAAAGGTTGAAATTGACTTGGAAATGCTATATATTCCGAAAATGGAAATTTCTCTTCTCCTTAGTTTAGGCGCACGTTCCTCTATTCAGGATCTGCGTTGAGTGACAATAAATTTATTTACTGCTGTACCTATCGTATACATCAGCATTTATAATATATATGCTAAATATAAAGAATTGGTAAAAAATACAATAAATTTCAATACCTCAAAATGCGTTTATCGTAGTCTAGAAACTTCTTTAATTTGTCTTCGTCGACGTTAGGTGTAACCCTCTGTTGAACATTATTTATAACACCCCTTTTTTGTGAATAAGGATCAATCGGCATGTCCTCCGGTTGGTCTAGCTCTATCCCTTGGCTCTCCAGCCATGCCTTAAAATCATTTCGTAAATAATTAAATGTCATACCTATTATACGTACATGAGACACACCTATTATTAAGTAACATATCGACAGCAACTATATTAAAATATCCCAAAAGTGGACAAACTATAATTGTTCATAAATTGAAATAAACCGCGTATTTTCCTTTTTATTTGTACGTTTAATTTTATTTGTATAATAATAATAAAGTAACTGTATAGCCCTGGAGCCAGGGCCCAAAAATTGACCTCATCTCAGGTTTGATTGTAAATTACGAAAGTGTGTGTTATTCTGAGGAAAGTGTGAATGTTATCCTACCTCACTATCACCAATGTCCAAGAGACAGATTGTTGTAATATTCAATAAATAAAAAAATAAAAGAAATTCTGAGAAGAAAGAACTTTTTCTACCGTTCTAGAGCCGCTTCTTTAGAAAATGGCGGCTGATTTCAAGAATATTAGGCCAGTAATTTGAGGATCGATTACTCCAGCACATTCCTCACTGTGTTTTCATCTCCATTCAGAAGTTCCTGGAAATATTGTCGCCAGGTATCCAATACCTCTGCAGTTCCTCTCACCATGTTACCTTCAGCACAGCCTTCTAGGATTCATTTATTTCATAAGTTGGAAGGCCCATCCTGTCAGTAGCCTCTACAGTTGACGCTGGCATCAAGCCATTGCTGAAGACAACAATATCCCTACTAGCCCTGGAGCCAAGGCCCAAAAATTGACCTCATCGTAGGTTTGATTCTAAATTACGAAACTGTTATTCTGAGGAAATCCAAGATTCATTGATTTTGATGCGCCAATTGTTTTGATGGGGGAGGAATTGATGGATGATGACGGCAGTGCCTCCATGTGCTGTTCCATTAGGGTGGTCAGTTCGGTAAATCTTGTAACTATGTATGTTAAATTGTCGTTTGTTAGTTAGTCGAGTCTCAGTTATTAAGGCTATGTCAATGTTATTGTCCTGTAGAAAAAAAAGTAAGTTCGTTTATGTGTTTTCGAACACCATACACATTCCAAAGGAGAATGAAAAGGGGTTTTGTTGAGGACATTTAGTGAATTCTTGGCGGTAGGATAAGATTAGCTATAACATCTGTAAGTAGAGAGATGAGCGGGGTGATGAGGGATTTGGTCTCGGAGAGAAATGATGTAAGGACGGTGGTAAGGTCACTGTAATTGCTAGGGAGAAGAATGTAGGAAATTTGGTGAGGACTGGACTGTTGTGAATTCTTATATTGGGGTGGTGGATCATGAGTTTGTGGCAGTGCCTGAGATTGATTGGTCTGTCCTATCTCTCCTACCACTTCAGCATAGGGGACTACGTCGTTCACACTTAGTGTGGGTTGCCTTGGTGGTCTGGAAGTCACTTCATGTCTAAGTGCTGCCTGTGTTCTTTATTTCAAGATTTTATAAGTTTGGCATCGCTTGTAGTTTGCCAGGTGATTTAGATGGCATAGTGCGCACACAGCTGGAGTTTGCCTAGACTTAGTTCATTCCTCAGATATGTGTTGCTGTCTGCACTTCACACATCGAGGTAAGCGGTGGAAATAACTTCTAGTTTGTCCACAAGTTTGACAACTTTGGCATTGTACTATTTCATTTTTTGTGTATGGTTTTTCAACCACTATACTAGTATAGTACATACGGATTAGATTATAAATGTTTTCGACTCCTGGAGTGCGTTCCAGGTGTACGAAAAATACTGGTAACGCTATTTTGTTACTTGTACCTGGTTGCTCTGGTTGCAGAATAATGAAAAATTGCGGATCATTGTTGATTTCAGTAGGTCTATCTAGATATCAGGTAGATTTTTCTATTGGACCGCCTTGGCCTTTGTTTTACAGGAGAGTTTTGAGAGCTACTATTGCCTAAGCTTCTCGATCTTTTAACTTTGCTCGACATTATCGTGTGATAATATCACATTTATGAAGATCTGACTGAACAAATATTTTAAATAGTCTGATGCGTATAAAAAAAAATTACGTAGACCGGTGGAGCGCCGAGTGACGTGTGCCCATCTCACCAGTCAGCCAGCTACTGGCTGCAGGCTGAGTGGGGATAGATAAGAATATGGTTGATAACCTGTCCAGCTATATCTATTGTTGTTAGGACTGTTCAATAAACTTGATAAACAAGTGATTACTCACCGTGTTTATGTTCATTTGATGGAACGAATTGTTACTTGATCAAATATCACTCTATCGAATCACTATGGTACAGTAGTAATTTAATCACTTGCGGGAGACGAAATGACTGGTGGTATGCAATAAATTAGTGCATGCGCCAGACTCACACAGAGTGTAACGAAGAAATCGTATCCAGTGGATTTGAGAATAATTATGGTTAAATAAATTTCACTTGGGATCACTTCACTGATTTCAGATCTGAGAAATGAGAAAGGGGAGCTTGGAATCTCTTTTTATAAAAGAGAAAATATTTAGTTTTAAATCCCTCAAAATATATTGAAAAAAAAATAGCTATCATTCAAATAAACACTGTGAGTAATAACAGACTGACTCACCCTTGTGTATTGATCGCAGTCGCATATGTGATACACTATGCCATATATGTCCATATCCATTCCCAAATTAATGTCTTTCCAATGCCAATACTCGCCCATCCCAAATTTCGGAATGCGCGCTCTCTTCACTAAGCGTCCTTGCAGGAAACCTGCATTCTGGACAGAAGGTTAATGCTTTTCAGGTCATTATATTAGTAAAAACAATCAGTCATTCTAAAATTTAAAAACTGAATACAAATTGTTTTAGAATCTTACCTACTGGTAAATAAAATAATATTGAACCAAAAATATTGTTAAAAACGTAATACTTAAGGTATATGTTGTACCTCCACTTTAGGCTCCATGACCGTTATAGTATCATCCTCCAAAAAATAAATGATATTAACAATCCTGACTCTGTAATATTCATCAGGAGATTCGACGACTGATTGTTTGAAAAACGCCTTAAATGTGAGGCATTTGTTGGCAAAAAGCAAAAAATGTGGTTGAAAGATGGGAGGAACGTAGCTCTTTGTTCGTCCATATGTCAACGACGGATCATACCTGTAAAAGTAATACCAATTACTATTAGGTTAACTTTATTTATTTACACTTTGCTTTTAATTTAAGACAGGGCGGGTTTTTATTTTAGTTGTTTGTTGGACATCTCTGCGTAACATCTTACCACAAATAGTTAAGTAATTCACGATTCTTATTATCCGCTAAATATGCAGAGTCATCGTTACACCTACAATTTTGCTCTTAACGCTTCAAAGACGGTGCAGTCAATGATTATGTGCTCAGCAATCTTTGGCACACCGCGGCTAGACCATGAAGGATCGTGTCGGCATGATAGGATCGGTCCTATGATCATGAAGTTTGGTTTGCACACTAAGGTTTCCGCATGCGGTTCTCTAATCAGCGCTGCTCACCGCCTTCACTTTTGTTGTGAACACGCTGCCTGGACAGAAGATGATTTGGCCTCTGTTCTATATTCTAACAAGTCCAGGTATGGCCATTATGGTGCAGACGAACGAGTTCGGATGTGGAGAAGACCAAATAAACAAAAAGCTCAGTGAAATATAATGGAAATAGTACAGTTCGGAGGAAGGTCGGTAATGGTTCGGGGTGGAATAAGTTTAGAGTCAATTGTACTTGATTGTGGGTCTGTATACCTGCATATGTCCTAAAGCCGACGCTCCATGCTCACATGTACATCTCCAACATCCTCGAGGAATATAAGGTATCTTTTGGCCCGTTTATCGCACTCTGTTTACTTTCAAGACGCACATCGAAAATGTTTTACGGGACTACCTAGGACGAGTTTAGTGTCCGCATCTTGGAGTAGCCAGGCAGTTTGGACTTCAATTCTATCAAGGATCTGTGGGGCAAACTTGAGACGTCCATCCGTCGACGACAGAACTCACCATTTGATCTCCCAGTACATGAATGGGATCAGATTCAAGATCGGGTAGCCATCCTCATTCGCAGTATGCCTATGAGAGTACAGGCCGTTATTTAAGCAAGAGAAGGCACTAGATACTAGAGACTTTGATTTCATAATTAAAAATCTGGTAACTTACACCTACCTCTTCTTAGCAGAAATAAGTATTTTCAGACAAAGGGAAGTGAAAGTAAAATTCTCGGAGTCCATATTTTATTAAGCTCATGTTAGGTATGAAAACCTCTTCTAATCTTTTGGGCGCGCTCGTATTTCTTTGGGTACTCTATCACAACTATTCTTCGTTACGATCTCCTATTTATCCTTTAGTTAAGTATAAAATTCTTTCCTATTTTATATTTAATTATTTTTTATACCAATTCAAAATCTGAAAGGCTTAATTATTTCAAATTAAAAAAATTAAAGGTACTTTGGAGCAAGAAATTTTGAAAATTAGCCATTTAAACATTATTAGAAAACGTCGATGAGAAGAAAACCTACTTTATATTAATAACACTGATATAATGAATTTAATCGTAGTCGTTAAAGCCGTTTTTTGAGAAAATCGTAAAAAATGTGTTAAATCGATATTAGAAAGTGTTACTTTAGATTAATCGATTTTGACCAAAAAGTTGCTGTAACGTCCTAGACATATAAAAACAAATATGCAATTTCATTTTCGTATGGCTTTTTGCTTTTGAGATAGACTGTTAACACACACACATACCACTTTGCGAGACTTAGTTATTTGGACTCAGAAGAACTCAAAATGTGTATTTCCGTTGCAAACTAGTATTCGAAAATTTTCACGATATTTATACTTTCTCTTACTATATATTTCTTATATAGGTAAGTAAAAGTAAAAAAATAATTAGATGCGTTTTATTAAAAATGTGTCCATTTGCTTTATTTTACATTACAGATTTTAAAAATGATATTTAGATTTTTTTTCATTTACTTGTGTTCTCCTAGAAACGGAATGTGTCACACTAGGTAAAGGTGAATCTATCTATCTATCTATCTATATAATTGCAATTGTTTTCTGTTGGGATAAAAATAACGACAAAATTTAAGGTTTTTGTGTATATTGCAATATTACACTTACCCCGCTGCATGAGACACATTCAAATTCCCTCAGGTGATGTTTAATTGATTGTTGATTAAAACATCAAAGATGTTAGGAATACTTTAGGCGAGACCTGTCAACGTTCCCAAGCCACAATAATGAAATTACAGATTCAAACTTTGACAAAGGAATGAGAATTGGATTGTAGAACCGAGATAAACTGATAGCATGTATGAACTTCTTATCTCAGATCTTACACATATTAATCGAAATTTATTTATTTGATTGTGTCATGAAGTGACATTAAAGTATGACAAAATAAAAAAAAAGTTATATTACTTGACTGGATCTGGGCTCCTATGGTAGAGTACACTCTCAACATCCAGCTGCTGACCACCAATACCGACTGATGCCATCTTCGCCACCGGGTAACCATTCTTCCAATCAAAGTTATGCGGAACACTAAACTGGTTTTTCTGAAAAACGAACAAAAAGATAAAACCTATTCATTAAAGATAAATAAATAAAATAAAATATAAAAGTTACATTATTATCAAGTTATGATAAAGAAATATGATTGTATCACACGAAATGTCAATTTTCAAGTCAAGCTAACAGGAATAGGAAAGCTCAGTGAATAAGGCACTACCATGTGTTCTCCGATACTCTGAATACTGAGATCGAATCTAGCTGTGATATATAATTATTTATTGTCACATCAATCATGGACAAGCTTACAGGTGGAAGATTTTTCTGTGACCCACCTATCTATAACTTACGTATCCTTGATTGAGTGAAAAACCTGGTACCTGAGCGTGATCATGGCCATATCAAATACTTGTACAATCAAAGGCACTAGGGACAACTTCCATTACAAGAACTGAACAGAAAACCTTTCATGGGTTGTAGTACATTGTATATAATAAAACATGATTTGACTTCAAATAATGTAATTAGCTAGACAATACATCTTCGTTGCTCTAGAAGAACCAATCTTCATTTTATATAAATGGATTTCTGAAATATATACCGAAATCATTTTTTAATTTTCCATGGTAGTTGATTTTCTTGTGTATACTGTACTTTGTCATGCTCACAGTGATCCTGAAAAGAAATAAAGAGGACCCCATATTTTGATAAAAAGGATGGGTCATTGAGGATTCTGCCGTGAATTTCTCTTAATATAATAAGGAACTTAATCGAAAAAAAAATTATTTCTTCACACGCTGCTCCCTATGTATCATTGATAATTGATATTCTTGAACAATGAACTGGTGAAGGTAAATTACAACACTTAATTTAAGTTCATTCTCCACCTAATAAAATACAAAGCATTGGTCAGTTACGAAGTTACATAAGGTTAGATACGAAGGTACTTACAGAAGGATCAGTTATGGAATATCCAGGCAGGAGAGGAAGTCCTTCCATTATTTCTTTTTATCCGAGACACTTTTGACGGGGAAAGTTTAGTTGCAATAGTAGACTCCGCAATACATGAGAGATATTAACTAACGAATGTAACTGAATCTTCTCGATAAAACATCTGCTGCCATGGCAACCGGATCGGGTTGGGTCGGTTTGGGGCTGCGTTAGTTGATCAATGGAAATGCCGCTCGTTGGACTTTACTCCGCGGCGATTTTCAAATAAAACCTAATTCAAAACTTTATAATTATTAATTGGACAGTTATATAAGATAATTAGACCATAATTATAATTATTAATTGGTTTTATCTTATGACATTGAAATAATTTCATAAACATATTTTAAATAAAAATAACGCTACTGTTAGGTACAAAAATCCGATGTAACATTTTTACATGTTAATTCTCTTTGCACTACAGCAATAGTGGATTTAATTTTGGTGGGTTTCAGCCCGAAAGCTTTTTTTTTCATATATATTATCTTATATATAGTTTTTTTTTTTATGTATAGTTTACATATAGCTCTTTTTTTTCATCACAATAATAAGTAATTTTGAGAAGATTGTATGTTCATTTTTATATAAATATATATATCCTTTTTTTTGTTTATTTCTTAGTGGTTACATACTACTTTTTAAATAATGTATTTAATGTTAAAATTTTTATAAGTTAGTTTTTGGCCAGATTTGTATTTTATTTTGTATTAATTCATCTTTGTTATTCTAAGGGGACTAAGTCCCAGAGTAAAGTTCTATTTTCTATTCTATTCTATTCTATATAACGATAATTTTTTTTTTTTTAAATTAATCAACTGTATGCAATGGAGTTTGAGTGATTCTTGAAGTCCTATTAAATGTAATTACACGAATAATAATACTTTAAGAGATAATTTTTAATATTTTTTCTATAAAACATAATTCCATTTTACCATTTTGGGGGAAAGAGAGCTTCAGCCCTAAAGACCTCCTTCTCTCTTCCTCTCTCGTAGATCCGAATGTGCGCTACAGATTACATTTTGTAGTCTGCAACTGCTGTAAATAGTCTGCTGAATAGGAAAATAGCAGACGGAAATAAAATATATTTTTATACAATTTTGTTTTGTATAGGTGAGGAAAAAGTGGAAATAAGGTAGCATGGTAGTAAGGTACAGAGCAGGGGTGGGGTGGCCGAACGAGCTAACGTATGTGTACAGTACCGCGTGTCGCCTGACAACCAGAAAACCAAAAGTTGGAGATAATAAAATTACGAGTTCGCATTCCGGTTTCTTGGGATTCTTTGAAATTCCCCGCCCTCACCCTCTGGTATAGTCTAAAGAGGCGAGGTAGAGGAGAACAGAAAAAAGAAAAAGAAAGTAAGGTGCAGAGCTTCCAATGCTCAAGGTAACAGGTTCGACCTGGCTTATGTCAGACAAATTATTTATTCTGTTTCATCAGTCGTGGATCGACCCTAAGGTCGGGAGACCCTACTGGAGCACGCCCAGCCTGTATAAAGTGGCTACTCTTAATTAAACAATTAATTACGAGGGAAAATCAAGTGGTTGAGCGTAATCTCGGTCAAATCTCCTCCTTGGAGAACCGTGGACCAGGAAACAGTACCTTCCCTACATAGTACTGAACCCAAGACCCTTCATAGTTTGTAGTGGTACTGGTAAAAACCAGTACGTACAAAAGTACGTCTTTAAAAAGAAACTTTAATCAGACATTACATTTTTTCCCTTCATTACCCACAAAAGTAACCTCATTTAAAGAAAAAGAAGGTATATACTATCTGTACAACATGTTTTATTATTAAAAAAAAAAAAGTCACCCTTGAGCGATTTTATTATACAGTTACAAGATACCGGGTTCCCCGTAAGTAGAGGAAATTTGTTTAGGAATGATAGTGTTACAAAAAAGTTCATATCAACAATGGGCTAATTTAAAGCAGAAACAATGGCAGATGCCAAATTGAGTACTGAAGTCCAAGGGTATTTTACTTAACTATTGACCTCCCCGATTCTGATTACTGTATTCAGATATTCAACTTTCCCGAATTTGAGTATTTTACTGAAATTTGAACTGCTCAACTTTGAATATTTTACTCATATTGCAGGCCTGCGCCACTTTGAGTACTTTATTCACAGCCTATTATAAAATATAATTTCAAGTGCCATATACACATAACTAAATATATAAATTATATTCATAAATGTGCCATTGTTCTAATTGCATAAGCACTGTTAAATATAGACTTTTACTTGTTTAACTCACTCTACTCACTCATCAGAATTCCATGTAGTTTTACTGTATTATCAAATAACCTTCTTTTTATATAACTTTTTTAATTCCATCTTTCTTGTTAGTTATATCTTTAAGTTTGTTAATTTTTTTTTTTTTTAGGTTCAAAATTAATATTTTTATTTATGCTCATTTTTTTTTAATATTATCAGTTTTATTTGATATTATACATATTTTGATTTGCAATATTTATTCCTATTTTCTTTTTTTTTATTCTTTACTTTTACTGCATTATCATTAGTTAATTACTTTACGAAGGATTAAGTTTGTTATTTGATATTTCAAATACCTTGCCTGTGTTAATTTTATTTTATTTTTCATGGAATTAGTACAAATTTTGTACTAAGTCCTAATATCAAGAGATGAACAAGAGGACTTCCAGCTGATCTGTTACGAGGAGGTACTTGAAGTTGTGCAAGAATTCATCTATTTGGAGACAATTATCAGCAACACGGGAAAGATTGACTCAGAAGTGGCGAATAGGATATTGAAAGCTAACCAGGTCTATTACCCTATCAGCAATAGTATAGTAGGGCACAGGGAAGTTGGTAAGTAAACAAAAAGGCACATATACAAGTCGGTATACCTCCCAACCCTCACGTATGGAAGCGAAAACTGGATTATGCTGGACAAGCAGCTTAGCCGTGTGACATCAGCCGAGATGAAGTTTCTGCGGAGAGCTGCTGGAAAGACCAGGAGAGACCACATCAGAAATGAACGCTTAAGAGAGGACCTGGAGGTGGTGGAGCTAAGGACATTATTGGAAAACCGACTGTTGAAGTGGTTTGGACACGTTTGTCGGTTGGAGGAGGAGAGAGATCCGTGCGAGGGATTCTGGAAGCTCGACCCACTGGGAGGCGACCGAGGGACCGCCCCAGAATTTTCTATTAGGAATATATACAACGGATTAGAGAGAAGAGAGGTAGTGTTGCCCAAAATTGGTCTTAGTCTTGGTCTTGCACTTTTGCAAGACCAAGACCAAGACCAATACCACAAAAATTATTCCAAGACCAGACCCTCCTAGTCTTGCAGGTCTTGTAGTTAAGTCAAACTGAGACTATTCAGATATAGTACGGTGCTTAAATATTTTAACCATCTAATCTAAACAGCTTTGTTTTTTCTTATGGAATTGTATATTTGAGTATAGCTTTCAAAATAATAATTAAAAAATAATCTTTTTATTGTTCTCCCCTACCTTGCCTTTTATGTTATCCGGGGGTTTCGCAGGCCTTGGATGAGAGAGGGAGATTAATGCCAGAGTTAATAGACCTCCCCGGGCAGCGGGACACGAACTCATAATTATTTTATTGTCTCCTATTTCGGTTATCAGGTTACTGGGCTCTGCACAATTGTTAGTCTACTCGGTCACCCTGTCCCTAAAAATTAACCATTTGCCAGGACTTGAGCAAGATAAGAAAATATATGAATAAACATTAATAAAAATTAAGACTAAATGGTTACTAATACTAGCCCATTTTAGTTACTGTAATGAAACTTCTCCTCACCAGAAGCGGACACTCACAGGTATCACAGGTAACCAAAAATTTACTACCTATATGTGGACTTATGTCACTTACACTGACATAAGTTCACATATAGGACACACCGTAGGGCTACCGTCCATAGGTAGCTGCTCCAAATAGAAGATCCTGACAGAAAATACTAAGAAGACAGCCTCTCCAGCTGTCTCGGGAGACGTAGGCCGATACACCCACTCTCCTTAAATTTATGTTATCAATAAACCTCAAAAAAGATTAACTGCACTGATTCATGGTAATAAACCCAGAAAATGACAACTGGACTACAAGATTGCCTCTTGGAAGATTTAAACTTTGTATAGAACTGGTGCTTTCCAAACACTTCTTAACATTTTTTATGACTACCATATAGACATAGCTGCCATCCAAGAAATCAGGTGGGCTGGACATGGTAGCCTAGGGGCTAAAAAACAACACTCTATCTATTACAGCTGTGATGACCCTCTTAATATATTTGGCACTGGTTCCGTTGTTGGTAAATGGATGATTCAACAAGTTGTTAACTTTAAACCTATCAGCCTTAGATCCTGCATGCTTTGTCTAAAAGGAAAATTTTATAACTTTAGTTTATTAAATGTGCATGACCCCACTGAAGTGTCAGAGGATGAGGAGAAAGATTCTTTCAATGAAACACTCAAATGGTACCTGGATATGCCTGGATATATATAGTATTTGGTGACTGTAATGCACAAATTGGAAAAGATACAGCTTATCAGCTACAATATGATCTCATAACTTCTATGAGATTTCAAATGACAATGGAATAATGCCTGTGAATTTGCAGCTTTCAAGGGACTTATTGTTGGAAGCAGTTGTTTCCCTCACAAAAGGTTTCACCTTGCCATATGGAGGAAATTCACAGCTAATGGTAAGATTACTCCCTCACAATTGATCATGTGTTTATTAGTTCAAAGCATTGGTCTTCGCTAATGAATGTGAGATTGTACCTGGAAGCTAATATAGACCCCGATCACTTCCAAATCATTACTAAAATTAGGACCCGAATCTCAACAGCAAGAAGGCAACGTGTCACTCCTATATTAAAATTTGATATGTCAAAGCTCATTGAAGGTGAAGTTCGTTCATTAATGGCCGAATCCATTGATGCTAAAATCATGAGTATGAACCAAGATAGAACACTTGGCGATAGGTAGAATGTATGTAAAATAACAATAACGGAAACAGAAAAGACATCATTGGGACCGAAGAAAGACGCAAAAGAAAATCTTTGTTTGAAGAAGAATGCAAGCTACTAAACCAAAGAAAGAATCGAGCTTATAAAGTAATTGTTCAGAAGAAGTACACTAAGAAATATGTGGTGGAGTATCAAGAAAGAAGAAGGGAAACTGACGTCCGCAGGCATGTAAATCCGCAATGGAAATGTAAAATTCTTACTGAAATCGAAAGTGCCTATCAATACAATAATAATTGAAATTTCTTTAAATTGATCAATGAGAGGCATCAAGCATAAAAAAATCCAAAACCATGTCTGCAAGAATATAGATGGTTCTTTA